CAAATACCTATTGCTCAGCTTCCCATTCTAATTACTGCACCAACTTTAAAACTGATTTCTGATATAATAGATTTAATTTACGAATATTTCAGAAAGAGCCATCTCACCTCCCATGAATTTGATGGAGGTTTGCCTCCACCAAATCCATGAATTATCCTGCTGGACCAGCAAATGGATAAAGTCTGCCATATTTCTGTGATGCTTCTGGTAGAAAATTACAGTGCTTTACTTAGAATCATACAATCACAGAACAGTTTGGGTTGGAAGGGACCTTAAAGATCATCCAGTTCCAACCCCCCTGCCATCAGCAGGGACACCTTCCACTAGACCAGGTTGCTCAAAGCCTCATCCAACCTGGCCTTGAACACTTCCAGGGAGGGGGCAGCCCCAACTTCTCTGGGCAACCTGTTCCAGTGTCTCACCACCCTCATGGGAAAGAATTTCTTCTTAATATCTCATCTAAACCTCCCCTCTTCCAGTTTGAAGCCATCACCCCTTGTTCTGTCATTAACTGCCCTTATGAAAAGTCCCTCCCCAGCCTTCCTATAGCCCCTTCAGGCACTGGAAGGCCGCTGTAAGATCTCCCCAGAGCCTTCTCTTCTCCAGGTTGAACAGCCACAACTCTCTCAGCCTGTCCTCTTAGCAGAGGTGCTCCAGCCCTTGGATCATCTTCGTGGCCTCCTCTGGACATGTTCTAACAGGTCCAGGTCTAACAGTCTAACACTTACTGCCCAAATGGTTGCTGGTATTATCGTGCAGCCATTCTTTCACACAGTAGGTTTCACTGTAAAATATGCAGTGGTCTTCACTGCAATCAACCTTTCATGTAAAGAACTTTTAATCTCCTCTAGTATCATACACTGTCTTTTGTAGTACAGTGCTGTACAAGAAGGTTTGTTAGGACCACAAACAGCACATACAACCTGCCAGCCATCAGCAGGGCTCTCCCACTGAAGTCTTCACTCAGTCTGCAAGTTTGTTAAGTAAACCTAAACGTGAAGGGATAACCACAGCTTAAAATAACAGCTTTGCTTAAATATGAAGCCTGTGATGACTCAGATTCTTCACAACAGCCCTCATCAGGCTTCAGCTTGGTTCAGTGGATTTAAAGCTGCCTTTGTCTGCCATTATAATGTCTTTATTTCCTAAACTGACAGGATCTCAGGGCTGTCCAGGCTAGTAACATGCTGAGCCCTATGATTATCTCACTCTTTTGCTATTCAGATTTTAAATTCAGAAGCAGCATTGTTTTAAGACCTGGTTACTGCAAGAGATCCATAATTATTACTTTTTACAAAGGCAGGGAGTGACAGAACAAGGGGAAATGGCTTTAAACTGGAAGAGGGGAGGTTTAGATGAGATATTAAGAAGAAATTCTTCACTGTGAGGGTGGTGAGACACTGGAACAGGTTGCCCAGAGAAGCTGTGGCTGCCCCCTCCCTGGAAGTGTTCAAGGCCAGGCTGGATGAGGCTTTGAGCAACCTGGTCTAGTGGAAGGGGTCCCTGCTGATGGCAGGGGAGCTGGAACTAGATGATAGTTAAGGTCCCTTCCAACCTTAACCATTCTATGATTACAAGTTTATGAAAAAACAAAAGAAGAAAATTAAAATGGCTGTTAGCTAGACAGGTATGATTCTACTACGGAGTTGTAGGGTCTCGTTACGTGTGGCTGTACAGACCAGAACCAGTACCTGGAAATGTCTCCCATAGACACAGCTATATCCAGAATGCTGTTATACATACTCTTGCCTAGCAAATCACCAAGGACAAAGAAAAACGCAATGTTGGTCTATAAGAGGTGAAGTATTTCTAGCTGATATGATAAAAAATATTAAAGCCACTGTATAATGTGGCTGTACAATGACTGGAGCCAATGCCCTCTATGTTGTCCCTTCGAGTCCTGCGTTTCTGAAAATACATGGACACTGATATTGTGCATTAACTGAAGTTCTTGAGCGTCACCTGAAATTGTCTGGTCAATGCAAACAATCTGCAGTGATATCTTTGCAGGAATAACTGCCAAGCACCTAATGAGGACAGAGCTAAAAGAGTTGTGCTCCATCACAACCTATGAACCGAATAAAGATGCATAAAATCAAGGCAGACAGGGCTAGCATGATCACCTACAGTCGTTGGGCTCAAAGGAGCTTCTCAAAAGAATCCACAGTTGAAATACTGACAAAACAAAGTAGAAGTGGACGTTATCACCAGCCTGCTCCCTGAGTATCAAGGCAGACAGGGCTAGCATGATCACCTACAGTAGCTGGGCTCAGAGGAGCTTCTCAAAAGAATCCACAGTTGAAATACTGACAAAACAAAGTAGAAGCGGACGTTATCACCAGCCTGCTCCCTGACTATCAACACTTCCAACAGCATAGTCAAAAACTGGATTGAGAACACAATGCATGCTCATCCAAGTTACTAGTCAATAACCTACAGAGAAGATGAAGGTTCAGTTATGGTAAAAAAGAGCAGAGCTAAGCACCCTCTTCATGTAAAGAACACCACTATCAGAAACAATCTCTCCATCCTCTCAGCAGCCTCACAGAGGTCTTGAACAACAGATAAAGAAACATTTTGCCAAGTTTCACATGAATGGGATGAGGGGATGGGGGAATAAAAAATAAGTATTGGTCACCACATGGTTTCTCAATCAAAAGATGCTGCAGATTTCCATTAATGAACCTTGGCTATAAATTAACACCACCTCTGAATAAAACTTATTGAGACAGCCCCTATTTCACAGTCCAGCTGCACCGCTTATCTAAAATTATTTCAAGAAGTGCGTTAAAAGAAATAATAATAAAAAAGTGATCACACCACCTTTTCTTCAAGAAATTAAATTAGACTATGTGGTAGAAGAAAGTATTCTTTTTCTTACTTATTTCAGTACTCATTTTTTAGGGTTTCTGTTCTGTCAGGTGTGATTAGCTATTCCTTTCACCAGGAGAGATTTTGTGTGTGCATACATGAGAGCATGACTGTGTTATGTGTATCTACACATACACCTGTAAAATCTACTCCTTTAAACTACCCATTTGCTGAAAGATTAAAAATGGCTTAAGCATATCAACAGCATACAGTAAGTAATCATTTGTATACAGAAAACAGACACACTTGAGGATGCCAGATAGAGCTCTCAACAGCTTAAATGCTCATTTTGAAACGAACAAGAAGAAATAAGTGATCCAACTCGACTGCCCAGATTCACCTGCCAGCCAGAAACACGCAGGCACATGTTATACATTGTCAGCACATTACACCCACTAGTCCTCTAGACACCAAACCGAAGTCCAAACACTGTGTAGATATTGTAAAGCATCTCCAAAGCCATCTGGAACCTTCAGACTTCCAGAGGCAAGGTTTAATTTGAAAGACAACTGAGCATCTTTTTATTCACCACAGGGAGGGTGTCCATGTGACTTTAACTGCCCTCTACCAATTCCACACTGGAACATTTTAATGGTAACATCAGTGTTGATAACCATTTATTAATGATAATACATAAAAGCCATTTAAAGTAGTTTTTTTCCTCCTTGTGATTAAATATTAGGAACAGTGATTTTAAAATCAACTGATTCCTAGAGCTGTCAGTCCAGGAAGTCCCTAGTGCCTGCAGAGAGCCTTACTGAGAACAGTGCAGCTCAGTGAGAGCGACAGAAACTGGGCTTGGGCTGAAGGCAACTAATATAAAAAAAGGAGTATACTCAAGAAGAGTACCTTTAAATACCTTTAACTTCAGTGGCAGTCATTTAGAAAGAAAGCAACTGTGGAAGTCCCCAAAAGAAAACATTCTTTACCAGTATTTACTGAACAAAAATCCCTTCACTAACACGCATCTTTTAAATATTAAATAAATTTCCTAACAAAGCAGCATATATACTTAATTACAATAAACATAATTTTTGAAGGAAATTACGAGAGTCTGCCTTATTTCTTAATTCAGATAATTCTGCTGGTTTTATTCGGGCTTTATAATTTTTAAACTATGCACTTCTGTTTGGGTTTCACACAAAACAAATGCACTTCTAAGTTCTCAAGAGAATACTCAGGCCTCAGTATCACATCTCCTTTGAAGGGGCTGCATTAAATTGCAAAACTAACCTCAAGCCTAGCTGCTGCAGAATGTAACTGAATGGGTTTAACTGCCACAAGCATTGGATCATTGCCAAAAAGTGGTAGTGTCCCTTGGGATTTAATCCCTCATCTTCCAGTATCCCTCCCATCTGAGGAACAGGAGTGGTACAGGGATCCACTTCTCGCAGGGCAATGCATCTCCCCACAACTTTCCTCCAGTCAACATACTCTCTAGGACACTCTGAAAATATCTGGTAGTGGTTCCAAGTAAATAGAAAAAAAAACTTCTGCTGGCTTAAATGCTCAGATGAGCTTTTACTCACAGCCATCACAGAAACCAAGCTAAGAATGTAAATGGCAGTTCACAGACATGAGGGGGAAATAGCTAACAAACATCCCTTGGAGCCATAAAGGAAGTAGGATAAATACATTGAAGTTCTGAAAAGAAGTCCTGTCATATTTCTCCAGCATGGTACAGAAGAGCTTCAGATGGATTGAAGAGATTCGTTGCTGTAAGAAACAGGAAAAAAAATGCAGAATCTTTGTTTACCTAGGTCTGCGGTTTCTAAGTACCTACTTTTTACTACGTTCATTTCTTGACTCAAAGTGAAAATGGGAATTCACCCTTTTCTCTTTTTTTCCTGTCCAATGTGCAGATGGGGCATATTTTCGTTCACTCCATCAATCCCTGCCCCCTACGCACAAACTCAGATACATGCACCTAGCCAGTGGAAAAGAAAAAAGGGTTACTCATTAATCCATTCTACAAAGCTTTCCAAACTGAAATGGGTGGGTTTTACATCTCCAGCAAGGAGCAATATATAGGTAGGTACGTAGCATACCTGAGCACAGTTCAAACTGAAGTGTTCATCTTGAATAGCACAACTTCGCTCCTGGCAAATTTTAAACCAAAACTCATCAGTATGGAGAGGATAACTATTTTCTGTATGCTCTTCTTCTGTTCCAGTATGGCACTGACTGCAGCTCCACACAAAATAGTAAAATACAGACAGCTTTTCAAGACAATTGAACGGTTAGAAACCACAGTGAAAAATACGGTAAGCAAAGTATTTGTCATAACATTGAAATTGTTTTCAGGCATTATGTATTGCTTAGACTGTATCTTGTGAGGGACACCATTTTCAAATGTTTAACTTTTCTAACTCAGATTTGTTTTATTGTAGGATGTTGAATTGCTGCATACGCCAGAAAACCCTGTGGTGAGATTGCTTTAACATTTCTTTCTAATTATATCAATTTAATTTTGTACTGGTTTATTCCATTCTCAAATGGCACATGCCTTCTTTTTCACATCTCTGACACAGTACTCTTAATGCAAGCTAGACTGAAAAAGAAAATATTTTGATAAAAGTTCCTTATTTCTGGATTTTTTATGGCAGAAGTGTTTATATTATGTAATCTTAGTTACTATTTTGCTATTGTGTGTGTATCCTAACAAACCCACAGATTCAAACTGGTATGTATTCCATTTACTCAAGAAATGGTGCTAAGAGGGAGGATTCACAGAAGAACCAGATGAGCAGTAGTGCTCTTGGGGATGCAGGTTTTGGGAGTGGAAGCACCTCCAACTGCCACAAATTCTGGCCGCACTGGGAGTATTGCTGAGCCGAATCCAAAGGGACCCTCTTTTCCCTCCCACTGAAGCTAAATGCCAAGAGTGGCACTGTAAGGCCATATCACACAGCGCTTCCTCTCACACCTATTCACACTCGTTTCTCTGAGACTATTTGTGTGCAAGGATTGTGCTATCAATGGGAAGATAAAACTGCATTTTGCAAGTATTCTCTTTGGATTATAACTAGTTAAAATCACAAGAACAGTTCCCTGTAAATCCCTTTTTAATACAAATATTTATTTATACACTATTTAATGCTGATATTTTGTGTGTTCCAAGGTCAGGAACTTCTTATATGTAGTAAATTGCACCAGAGTAAACAGAAAGCGTGTGCATACTCCAAACAGACAGATGCAGGATTTACCATGAAACTGAATGCTAATAATAGCAACAATGTGTCTTAAAAGCTTAGAAGATACAGGCATCCTGTTTTCTTTTGATAATCTCCAACATGCAGCAAAGGTCTAGAGCTGGCTGCGGCAAATCTGGTTATACTTCACCTGTTATCAGATGCCTTAAATTTACCTGTAATTTTGATTTTTTGAGCCCAGACAACTATTTCAGAAAGCAAACAATTTGGATTGATGTATAAAAATGATCATTATGCATAGTTTTTTGAAAAATGCCTAGAGAGTAAAGTTACTTACTCAGGGCTGTAAACTCTCTTGCAAAACAACGACAAGAAGAAAGGAAAAAAAAACAACTTACCTCATTTCACACAGGTTTTGTTAGCCTCCTCCTAGGCTGTACAGCTGAGTGCATTTTTTACTTGCCAATGCCAAAAACATATAGAAACATGACCAAAACAGAGACATTCCTTCTCATTGCTAGAAACAACTGCAGCGCAAAAACCTAATGCACCCTAACTAATTGCTGGGGTTTTCTCATTAACTCTCTTTCTAACTTGTGGTGTCAAAGTGAAAAGCTGGAGATGATTAGCTGTCATTTTACTGCAGTGTTTGCTACTACCTCCAAAACAAAGCAAATACAAATAGTGACTAATCGCTTAATCAGTTTGGGTTTGGTTTTTTTTTTAATTCTCTCAAGAAACATGGTCACCTCAGGAAGGAAGACAACAGTTCATTTGCAGCTTAGGGCTTTACAGTCTGATTCTGGGAGGTCCCAAGTAACTTTGCTGAAAACTAGAGGAGACAGAGAATTCACATATTTAGAAAGGACTAAGTTGATACAGGCTCAATCTTTGATGAAATACTTAAAAAAAAACCATTAGTGTGCTAATAGTGATTAACACCAGCAACCACATTAACAAACTTCTTATCCTACAAGGTGAAATTTCCACTTACTGAATTGTCAAAATACTGACCTATGAATTGCGGTTTGCAAAAGTCGCAGTCAGGGTGATCAGGTGCAATCACACCTTAGTGAAACTGGATTGAATAAGAAGTCTTTCATATAACTATTAGAAATGCCAAACTATTGCTTCTATGATAACCTGCTTATACCAGACTGACATTTGGCCTTGAATATTCAGGAAGAAGGCTTTTTATAGCATTTAAAATTCAGTGGTTTATCACTATTTGTTTTGACTTCCTTGAGGTTCCTGTGAGTGAACTGAGTGTCAGCTCCAATTCAACCCCACACAATTTCCCTGTACACTCAGCAGTGAAGTATCTTTTTTATTTAAAAAAAGGTGGGTAAGAAGTTTAAAAGCTCTGAGGACATCAACCCAAGGGAAAACAAGGGAAAGACTGAAAAAGTAGTCTTCAACATGAAGTGATTCACGACTGGAGGGAAAATGAGATCTCTTGCTGGTGATTGACATTGCAACTGAAGCCAGTGACACAATGCTGATTTACATCGGATCAGCATCTAACTCTGCTGATTGCTAATTCAGGAAGTGAAGGCTTTTCAGGCTAATCTGTAAAGTTAGTTTGAGTCAGATGCAGAGTACTGCTGCAAATTGCATCCAGTACAATTATTTTACGTTTGCCTAGTCCCACTCAGACATTATCAGTGGTCTGTGCTTTTTAATGCCTTTTCATCAAAGTGCTTAACCCATCACAACATACTAAACCCCACAATCCTTGTGGTCCTCTGACTGTTGGCCTGCCTAAAGCTAACTGTTAATTCAGCAAAAAAAAAAAAAAGGCAAAAAAAAAAAAAGGCAGCATATATGAGAAATGCTGGTTTCTCAGCTCATCACGGATGAGGCAGAAAACGTTTTCAGTTTCAGCTGGAAAATTGATCTCTTTAAAAACGAATGTTTTTCTTCCAGTAAGCAAGACTGGTTACGGTAAGAAGTTTGAAACAAACATAAATGTGTGGTTTTTAAGGAAAAGAAAATGCTATAGCTAATCAATATAAAATGCTGCCATTAAAATTTGCTATAAGCAACATACATGAAGGTTGCCTTGTCCTTGCCAAAGCTGCAAACTGCAGTGGCATATAATAAACCAGAAGAGATTCAGCTCCAGTAGCGGTTGGTATGCAAAACAGGGATGACGGCTTTGGAGCCTTTCTAATATGTGTCATCAGCAATTCTAAATGTTTCCTTCTTTGGAAAACAGAAAGCAAGTTAGAAACTGGCTTCAATAAATATTGCTTTTCTTTCTCTGTGGACTATGGCTTAGTTTTGGTGATATTTTCCATAGTGTGTGGCCAGCAAAGGAAAACAGCCACTGCACAGGAAAGGAGATTCTGGAGAGCTTGTAGACTTTCTCTTAGCATCAGTAACATTAATATGCAGCTGCATCATGAAAGGAAAATGGCAGGTTGCATTAATTCCAGATAAGCAGCAGCAGCAACAGAAAATTTAAATCATTAGAACAGATAGCTTCTTTTTCAAGTTAGATACAGATGGTGCTTACTTTCCTTCACTTAGGTTTAACATGCACCTCAATTTAAAACAACAATTCAAGCCAGAAGCCTGGCTCCTTATCCTGCCTCTTTCATCCTCAATTCCTCTTTTCCCTTTAGTAAGGTTACTAACTTACTTCATCACCTTCATTTCCCATGCCATCAAGTGAGAACATTTCAATAGTATTTGAACTTACACGGTTCTACCTCAATTCTAAACATAATTACTAACTAGGTAATATTAGAAATGGCACAAAAAATTAGGAAGAAAAAAGTATATTCTCACACATAGCAGTGAGGAACAGTCCAGAGTGATATTAATATTTTTTTTTTAAAAAAGAAAATATTCATGCTCATGCTTGTGGAATTTTACTATGTGTAACTTGATCAACTCTTCAGTAGCATTTTCTTTCAATTGCTGTCATGATTAATATCCAATTAGACATTTTAGGCATTTATTTTATGAGAAAATACTTAGGTAATTATCAAAGAATAGGCAGAGTACAGGTTAAAGGTCTCTTACATACCTAAAATTAACTTAAAGAGTATAGTTGAATCTTCTCAATTAATACCCTGGATACTTACCTTTGTGCACAGACCACAACCTAACACATGCAGGAAAAAATGCTGCAACATTTGTTTTAAAACTGTTCCTTCTTTTCCTGCCCTAGGAGGGATGCCTGTTCACAGCTGTGACCTGCTTCCAGAAGGGCATACTGAATTTACAACCAGAAAACAGCCAAGTAAATTCTACATTCACCCAAACCATTAGAGTCTTGAAAAGATTCACCATCAGCACCCCTGTAAAGGTAGGATTTCCTCACAACGTTCATAACACTGATCATTGCTCCTTATTTTCTATAGCAGACGCCACCTGCAATGGTGGAATTGTAGAACACAAACTTGTTAGAAAAACTAATTTGCCTTTCATACCTTTGGAAATGAAAAATGTCCAGTTTTCTGCAGTTCTGGGAGAGGCGTTCACCCTGATCCTACCAGTCAATTGCACGTATGCACTTGGCAACAACGCAACGTGCTGGACAAAAGGAGAGGGACTGCTGCAAAACATGAGAACAAAAGATGTCATTACTATATTCCTTCCCTTTCTGAAATAGCCTGTATCTCAGCTTTTCCATTTGTAAAAGGCTTTGATTACAACCCCCTCGATTTTACTGTAAGAAAGCTTTAAGTATTATCTATGATTCTGATGCGCTGTTTAGAAGTGGCATGATTTTCTTTCTCTTCCAGCATTGTGAGTCTTCATGTGAATCTTACCAGAAAAAAAACCCCAAAGAGTTTTTGAAGAGCTTTGCAAAACTAATCAAACAGGTAATCAGAGCTGATTCCTCCGGGGGGGGGGCTTTTTGACATTTTGCAAACAATTACAGATATCATTATTTTACAGTATTTCTAACAATGTGTTGGTTTTTTACAGTTAATCAAGGACTAATATAGGACACACCAGAGCTGAAGGCTACAGAAAATCTACTATTTAAAGCAGACACTATGTTATTTAAGACAAGATGAAAAATGTAAATATTTTCTATTGCTACTATGCTGTGCTATGTGTGTGTGGTAAGTGAAAGCTTCTCCCAAAATATTAAGAAGTCTTATTTGGATGGCTATTCATAAGATGGATGCTGTTCTGAAAGTGATCCTAGCCTCACCTTACAGTGAAAGTTCAATCGGAATTTCACAAAAAGAGGTTCTCTTACGGGACTTAACGTCCACCTACTGCTGAACTAGAAATACATGAGACAGCTACTTCTGTATTTGTTTTGATCTTAAATGAATCTCAAACAGAGACATCAGAAACTTTTTAAAGAAAAAAAAAACAACAAACAAACCCAAACAAAAAAATCAGATCAAAAGTATCTATTTGGATCAATTTCCTTATTTACAATAATACCACACACATAGTTTTATTTATAAATTTTTAGACTTTATCTTAGCTAACTGTGGAAAAATATCCTGCATTTAAGTGTCTTATAAATACTGGAAAAACATTTACAAATCATACTGTACGGCATGAGTCTGACCTATGTCCATCTTGAAGCTGATGGCACATTTGCCATGGATTTCAATAGGGAGAGGAGTAACCCACATGCTCTAAGTGAAGATACAGGATTCTGTGAGGAAAAACACGTTTCAGAAGATGGAATTCCATCTAGACTCCCTCAGCTTAATGTGGTAAATACAGTAGAGCCATGACTGGCTGGTATGACCAGTCACTGCAGAAGGTTGAACAAATACAGTAATTGATGATTATTCAGAGTGAAGCAGCTCTAACGCACATTGCTCTTTCTCAGAAGACAATATTTTACACTCATATTCATGCACCATTAACACTATTCCTTCTTTCCACTTCACTCATTTTAACAGTTCAAGTTTTAATTTTAATTTTTTCTTTAAAAACTGTAAAGTTTTTTGTTATGTGGAAACCTGCCTGTACAGCTTCTGAATCCTGAACATTTCTGTGGAACTATGGACGGAGATACTATTGAAACTTTTTAAAATAAAAGTGAGTATCATAACACTTAAAACTAGTTTTTAGCTGCTTAATAATATACCACCACATTCTGCTTGCAATGATTCTGTACCTTTAGACTCTTCCATTTGAGAAGTAACTGTTAATTGACCCCCAAACAGATATTAGCCCCACACAAGGAAACTGATCTTGGAAGAGAGTATAAAGCAGTAAAAATTAACCTTTCATCTGATTTTCTCTCTGCTTAGTAGAAATGGGGTATAGAGAGGAAACTGGAAAACTACATCTAGTGTTATGATGGAAAATTACAAGCTTACTTACCTCCAAAAATAATGAGGTAGTATTAAAAACATTTCCATTCCTACCAATGTCAGCTGAAAGGAAAACTAATACAAAAAGCTTTTTTGCCTCTGCATTTTTGCTGCCCTGAAATGTGAACCTCCTCAAAAAATTATGTCAGAGGAGGAAGGAAGATCCTCAGGGCAACAACAAACCAAGTTTCCACAGTGAACTCTCCTTGTTTCTGGTGATGACCATTTTGATTGTCTTTTTTTGACTTTTTTTCTTTTTTTTTTTGTTTGTTTGTTTAAAAAACTGCTTTTCCTCTGAGTAATGTTCAATCTCATACCTCAATGTTTCCACATTACTGCATGAGAACTAACATGAACTACCACTCATATGTAAGTAATGAAGCTACTAAATTTAAAATGGTCTTCTGCACCTTTTATCCCCGTTTCTCCAATTTTGCTACCTATAAAGTCCCTTAATTGCCAATTGGTAAGCAACATCCAAAGCTGCTGCTGCGACTGCAAAGGATTTTAAAGTTACAGAAGTAGAAAAAGTCAGGGTAAAACTTTAATTTCAGATTTGGATTAAAAAAAACCTGGGAAAATATTAAAGCAAGTCCTGCAATTGCAGAGTACCTGCTGATGTGTCCACAACATTACACTTAAATTTTTATGGAGGAGTTTAATTGAACACCTTTAGCATGAACTAAGTGCCTTTTTTACTGAGTCCTAGAAGGCCAACCAATAATAAAACAGCACTTTTCATTCATTTCCATGGAATATTTGCATGTGGAGAGTTTTGGGGAAAGAGCTTTATTTTTGTACAAAGAATATAGTATGTACTTTATGATTTGTAAATGACTTTTCCAGTAATTTGCTAAGTGCATTCAAACCAATATTCTAAAAGAGCCAGTTAAAATTCTTGTTGTGCAGATGAAATGTGATTAGCGTGCCCTAACAAAGGGAACATTTGTACATTACATATTTATTAATATTCATTATAAAGCATTGTGAAGTAACTTTTGTACCTGGGATGGATATTTTAAGACAGAAAAGCCATTTCCTCCCAGAATGTCATAAGCTAACTAGTTACTCCTGCCTACACTGGAACAATCTGTGTACACAAGGCAGCATGTAATACAGTCAGTAATGTAGCTATTTCTGTTTAGTGACTTGCTCCACTGTTTTTAAACTATGGATCTTATCACACCAAGCATAGTGCAGAAGAGATGGTGTTGTTGCTGTTGTTGTTTTAAATGTAATATACTCATTTGTTAATTGAGGCTATTTCTTGTACCTGCAGAACAACTTAATTCAAACTGCTCATCCATATGATTCAAAAAACAAGTGAGAAACTGTAACAAATGTAACTTAGAGGGTTAATTGTTCTGAGATCTTGCAGAAAACTGTATTTATTGGACTATCCAGTCCAGATATATATACCAGGATAATTAATCACAATTATCACAGCTGATTTTGGTTAACAGCACACTTCAGGGCAGTGTCAGCAGAATCACTGTGGGCAACTGTCCACTTCAAATACACTTTGAATTACATGACCCTGAGGCCTCATGCTAACTCTTTGATTTGTCCAAGTTATGAAAGGTTGAGTGTATTATCCAGGGTGTGTTATTTGAATACCAAATGAAGAACAGGAAATCAGTGAAGGACAGATCAGTCTTCAAGAAGACATCATCTTGTTGTTCAACACTGTTCTCAGAAGAAAAAATGAAGATGCCCCAAGAGGAACTTGTGACCCTAGTTATCACAAGGACTAGTTATCACAATTCCAGACGTGTACACAGTCTTGACTTATTGTTACTTGTAAGATGAACTCTCTTTGTACTAACTGCATTCTGCAGAAACAATGTATGTTTCGTTAACTGAGTACATAGAGTAAGCCATAAAAGCTCATTACCTCCCAGGGAGGTTTTACAAGATATTTATGATTTTAGTCATAAGTGTCCTTTGCAGGCACTTGAAGATGTGTTTTAGCATGGTATTTACAATTCTGTATAATATTTACTTTTCCTGAGAAGATTCTTTATTTTTATACCAATTGATTTAATCTAATTTAATTATTTATTGCATTTCTGTGAATGGAATGTTCATACCGCGGACTATGTGGTCTGATTTATTTATATGCCTGAGATATTAAATAATTTTAGCTAATATGTTTTTCTCTTGTTCTTTGCTTTAAAAATTTCTGAACATTCCTACCCTGTCAGTGGCCCATAAGACCCCTCAGTGAACTAATAAAGTTCACTTTATTAGCTTATGCTGCCATAGATTTTGCCAGATCAGTTCAGTGACATCGTATACAAAGTTTATCCTCCACCTGTTCTTATATAACAATTAAGAAGGGGTCATTCATTTTTTATTGTTGCCATCTCATTTGAAAATCTTTTTTAAACATTGGCTTTTCAGGATTAATATGCTCCTTTTGTCAAACTCACAGCAGTTTAAATCACATCAACTAGATTTCTTTAGACTGATATGACAGGTAACTTCATGTTTTGAGTCTACATAGAATAAAATCAAACACCTGAAAATGCAACTCTAGAAGTAAAAATTATCCAGTCTGTTTTTCACTGTTTTCTCTCATTCTACTTCTCTCTTGTTCTGAAATGTCAATCCTTTTCCACATCCCAATTTCACAGGATGTGCTGAAGTTCTCAAAAAAAAAAAAGAGTATTTTTAGCTATTGTACTTTATCAGGTTAGCTATGTTCTATCTTTTATAAAAATCCCTTTTCCCTAAAATGTAACAAAAGTGGACTTTGTTCCAGCAAACAAGCACAAAGCTCTAACAAAAACAAAGACTAAACAATTGAACAGCTATTCTTTCCCTTTTCACCTGCTCAGAAAACACTCAGATAATATCTCCTTCCACTTTTCTGTCATCACACATCTGCATTGGTTGGGATGGATTTTCTTAAAAAAAAAAAAAAAATCATTCAAAAATAAATAAAAATGAAGAGGAAGTGTCATAAAACATTGGAGACTTCAGGCATAAACTGCTCCTACATCCAGGACCGAGGATGATGCGCTGGACAATGCTGTATGATCTCTCTCCTAGAAGACAAGCAGTCCTGCTCTGCCTGGTAGGCATTTTCCTCTCAAAAAAAGAACCAGCAGACTGACTTCCAAGGAGCTGGATGTGCCAGTTGCCTCCTGTTGGCTCCCAAATAGTTCAGTGGTGGTAGACACCTCAATTTGCAGCCCAGATCACCCTGGAAAAGTGTTTGGAGGGAAGAGCAAAATGATAGGGTCTAATCCAAGCAATCCCTCCTATCTTTGCACACAAGAAACCAGTGGGAGTTGGGTACGCTGGGATTCACCGAGTTAACTACTTAGTCAAATCTGAGCCATCTGTCCACTCAATGAAGAGAAGTAGACATACTCAGGAACAAGTCATCCCACTCCAAACTATTTATGTAATACAGGTGACTGGAAAAAAAACAGAGGGAATACTTCTCACTCCAATAACTACACTTTTGATGCCGATTACTAGATATGATGACTCTCACTCAAACTACCTCGGATTCAGATGCA